CCCCAGTGTGTGTCCCCAGGGTTTTTGGGGTGTTCTCGGGGTGTCCCCAGGGTGTCCCCAGGGTTTTTGGGGTGTTCTCGGGGTGTCCCCAGGGTCCCCGTGGGGGTGGCGGGTGTCACCCGGGGCTGTCCCCGAGGTGCTGACCCCTCCCTGGCCAGGTGGACGTGCTGGTGACCACGGCCGGGGGGGTGGAGGAGGATCTCATCAAGTGCCTGGCGCCCACCTACATCGGGGACTTCCACCTGCGGGGCCGGGAGCTGCGCGAGAACGGCATCAACAGGTGGGGGTCACCTGGGGTCACCTGGGGGTCACCTGGGGTCACCTGGGGGTCACCTCAGGTCACCTGGGGGTCACCTCGGGGTCACCTCGGGGTCACCTGGGGTCACCTGTGGGGCCGGGAGCTGCGTGAGAACGGCATCAACAGGTGGGGGTCACCTGGGGTCACCTGGGGTCACCTGGGGGCCACCTGGGGTCACCTGGGGGTCACCTGGGGGTCACCTGCGGGGCTGGGAGCTGCGCGAGAACGGCATCAACAGGTGGGGGTCACCTGGGGGTCACCTGGGGTCATCTGGGGTCACCTGGGGTCACCTGGGGATCACCTCAGTGTCACCCGGGGTCACCTGGGGTCACCTGGGGGTCACCTCGGGGTCACCTGGGGGCCACCTGGGGGTCACCTCGGGGTCACCTGCGGGGCCGGGAGCTGCGTGAGAATGGCATCAACAGGTGGGGGTCACCTGGGGTCACCTCAGTGTCACCTGGGGTCATCTGGGGTCACCTCAGTGTCACATTGGGGTCACCTGGGGTCACCTGGGGGTCACCTCTGTCACCTTGGGGTCACCCGGGGTCATCTGGGGTCACCTGGAGGTCACCTCAGGGTCACCTGGGGGCCACCTGAGGGTCACCTGGGGTCACCTGGGTGTCACCTTGGGGTCACCTCGGGGTCACATTGGGGTCACCTGCAGGGCTGGGGGCCACCTCAGTGTCACCTTGGGGTCACCTGGGGGTCACCTGGGGGTCACCTCGTGTCACCTGGGGTCACCTGGGGTCACCTTAGTGTCACCTTGGGGTCACCTCGGGGTCACATTGGGGTCACCTGCGGGGCCGGGAGCTGCAGGAGAATGGCATCAACAGGTGGGGGACCACCTTGGGGTCACCTGGGGGTCACCTCGGGGTCACCTGGGGGTCACCTGGGGGCCACCTCAGGGTCACTTTGGGGTAACCTCGGGGTCAGCTCAGGGTCACTTTGGGGTCACCTCGGGGTCACCTTTGGGTTACCTTGGGGCCACCTTGGGGTCACCTCGGGGCCACCTGCGGGGTCTCCTCGGGGTCACCTCAGAGCCACCTCAGGGTCATCTTGGGGTCACCTCGGGGCCACCTCAGGGTCACCTCGGGGTCACTTTGGGGTCACCTTGGGGTCACTTTGGGCCCATCTCGGGGTCACTTTGGGGCCATCTTGGGGTCACCTCAGGGTCACCTCGGGGCCACCGTGGGGTCACCTCGGGGTCACTTTGGGGTCACCTTGAGGTCACTTTGGGGTCACTTTGGGGTCCCTCAGGATCGGGAACCTGCTGGTGCCCAATGACAATTACTGCAAGTTCGAGGATTGGCTGATGCCCATCCTGGAGCGGATGGTGGACGAGCAGGACACACAGGTCAGGGGGGGACCCCAGCCCGGGACCCCTCAGTGCTGGGAGGGGGCCTTAGGGGGTCCCTGCACACCTGGGGTGGGGGTTTGGGGGT